ACTCAAGAATGTTAAAGATTCATGCTCATGCGTCCAATTTGATCCCACAACAGTCAGCACTTATTTTTGATGAAATCATAATAACATTTAATTAATTACTCAAAGTAACCTAGCGTAATGATGCCGATATCACTGATACTGATTTGGCTTGCAGCAGATACAGAGCTGATTAATATAAATGGGCGCAGTTGGTGACTGTTGGTTTCATGCAACTTCTTCTAATTCTTTTCTCTTAAAATCATTCGGTCATTTTAGATGAACTTCAATGGGCCCAAAGGGGAAGCTTCGTAACTGTTAGAAGCAGCAACTCAATGCCAAGTTTTCATCTTTCACAACCATGGCAATTGGGCAAACCTTTACGCATCTGCTTCAATCACAAGTTTTACGTAACCATCTATAAATAAGGATTGTTTTGAACTATTAATTGCATTGCTCGATGAACATTGATACTGACCATCAGAAAGGTAACTTCAAGGTTGGGAAGTACCAACGAAATTGCCATGACACTGAATCACTATTCATTTCTACAATTCATTAGGCATTAACAAATTAATTAACATTCTAAAAAGATAATTTAATTGATTAAAAATTTAAAATTTTAATATAAATATTACATGTTTAAATTTTATATTGAATATAAAAGAATTTATAAAAAAGAGGTTATTTCCTTTTAATATAATCTATTATATACCAAACGCTAAAAAAAGAGAGTAATTAATAGAAGAAAAGTTAATTTTTGCAGATATATATCCTTTAAATAAATAATTAGCATAAGCCTTTAACTGAATTGATGCACATAAATACACAAGAGAACTTGTGGTGTTTAGTCTCAGTTTTTAATCTTAAATTACAAGTTATCCAATGTACTGAACATCAAAGCAAAATCAATGTAACAGTTCAGAAACTGGGATCTTGCCGGAACTTCACGAGTATGGTTAAATCGGACATTTATGGCTGGTACTTTTCTGTCTGAAATCTGAATCCTTTCTTGTTTGGTCATGACAACTCCCAAAAAAAAAAATCTCAACATCGAATGTGTACAACATCCCAAAAAAAATCTCAACCCCCAAACTGTTGTTAGTACAACTTCCTCAGCAGTTGTCTGCAATTATAAGAGCACATATTCTGCTAATTAAGTTCCGAATCCATTCTTAATCTTTGCCAAAGTTTTGGCTGACCAAGACAGTATCCTTTTAGGATAAGCTAGCTCTAGCATGAGGAAAAGCTGCTAATTGGTTCCTGAAAAATGAGCATAGCCACGATTCTATTGACATGGTTATTGCCATTCAAAGGTTAGAATTATGATTGATTTTTTTTTTGATCAGTGGGAAATTGGGGATTGGGGGGTTGGTTTTATTTTTGTTGCGGCGTTGCAGTTTGGACCCTTTGTCTTGATGCCAAGGGGATTATGCACTTCCAACGCAGCCGAAGTTGCAAATGCGAATTATGATTGATTGAACTGTTATAGATAATTAATAATTATAATTATTAATTATTAATAAAATAATTAATATTTATTATTTAATAATTTAAATATTAAGGTTTTTAAATGTCTTAATTAATTATAAACTAATAAAATTAGACAAGTTAAATACTCTCAATATATATTTCTATGACCTTAACACTTATGTAGTGGTTGTAAGCATGGCCGATTCTAATGGTATATGGGAATGGAATCTTGCAGATTCTATATCCTCAAGGGCTAAAAATCAAGTAGTATCAGTAGGAAGGCAAGGGGCTATAATATTCTCCCAAAAAAACAAAAGTGAGAAGGGCAAGTGGGGAGGGGCTATGATGGGTGTATTAGATAGCTATAGGTCTTTGCTGACATCTAAATTATAATAGTATGTAGGTCATTGGATGAACACTTAAGCACGTTCCAAAACCTCCAAAATTCGAAAGGGTAGACGGATCATTTGTAAATTACCCCGCCATCCCACAATAATACAATGTATTTAGTTTTTTCTTAAAAAAAAAAAAAAAACTAAATCGTTGTTTTAAATTGACCGTCTCATTTTTAACCACGTATAGTACTTAATAAATCTCTCTTTTGGTAATCCACTGCATCAACATTATCTTTCTTTTTATACTACATATATTAATAAAAAATAATTGATGGTAGAACTATTTTTGATTTTTGAAGAAGAAGAAGGGAAATTTTGGGGGTAGGGGGAATGTAATACCAGAATGTGCAATCCAGGCATTTAGCGTGCAAGCAGCCCTTTACAAAAGGGTTTGTGGATGCTGACATGGTAGAATTGATTAATTCATCATAGAAATAATGATTATTCTTAATCCATGTGCATATTGTGGAATTAATAAGTGATACTACTCTATTGGTTTAATTTTAATAGATTTATATTTTAATAAATAAATAAATAAATAAATAATAATTTATTAATAAAATTTTATATTTATTATTAATGAATTATTAATTAAATAAGAATTCATATACATATATATATTGTAATTATATTTTTAAAATAAAAACAAATGTATTAAATAAACGCACTTGGGCTTTCGAGTCCAATGGCGTCAGGTCACGTATAAATGTATTCTCTTATCCTCAGGATCATGGTTTGAATCCGGTTCCTTGCGAATTTGTTCAAAAAAAATATATTAAATAAGGGCCATGATGTGTGCACACCCGGATCCAACACCCGGGTGTGCGATCCAACACCCGGGTGTGCGATCCAACACCCGGGTGTACGATCCAACACCCGAGTGTACACACTTCCTATAAAAGAAAATGGACCCGGTGTTGGATTTTTTTTTCTTTTTATGGGAAGTGTGCACACCTGGGTGTTGAATCCGGGTGTGCACACATCATTTTCAATTAAATAAACAGAGTGTTTGGTTTGGGAGTTTACAGACAGTTATTTATTAGTTTATTAGCGACTCTAATAATACAAATTAGATATTTTGAAGGGTTAAAGCTAATTATTGTCCCTCTACTTTCCTTTTTCATTCATTGTCCTCCTTGTACTTTGAAATTATTCAAAGACCTCCCTCTACTCTCCCAAAACATACTAATGTCTCCCTCTACTTTCAATTTTCATACTAGGTACCTCCCTCACCTAACGCCATTATTAACACCAACACTGTTACTAACTATTTACCATCAAACCTCACACATTCATTAATTTATTATTATTTTTAATGAATTTCAATTTTAAACCCCACAAGTTCGGTGCCACTCACCATGTCACTAACCTAGATTTGCCCCCAAATTTATGAAAATAATACATACACAATTTATTTCTACTAATGTGAAAGTTATGCCTTTGAGATTGTTTATCAAAGAATTAATTTGAAGGTGTACAAAAATTAATTATAATTAATCTTAATTGTAATTAAGATTATCTACCAAAGGATCAAATACACCTGTAATATCGAACACAAACATAAGTTTTTCCTAGGGGGTTCATCCACTTTCTTTTTTGCTAAGATAATAGAATAACCTAACTTAAAATTTGGCACAATATAACTCTAGAATATTAGTCAATCACCAAAATCAAAATAAGCATTCTAGAGCAATTAGTATAAGAATACCTCCTTTTACTTTTGCTAAAGTTGGCTACATCACAATATGCATGGTGATAACCCCTTTTGGTAGCTTAGCAAATGGTATCTCAAGCTGACCAACTATCTTATTGTTATCCAAACTTTTTTCAGCATTTATTAGTTTGACATCATTGGTTGACTTGGGTGCAATTATTTTGTTTAAGACATATCAAAATATTTAGATCCAATGTTAGCAAAAAGAAACATGTAGTAATAAATCGATATGAGAGACTAATTCTTTGAAATTATCTAAAATTTTTTAGTATAAATTTATTTTAATTTTTTAATTTTAGTTTTTGTGCTACGTTAATTTTTTTGGACAAAAATCTTTTTTTTTTTTTAGTGAAATTTATATATAGGAATATGAACAAAAAGACTAGAAATAATCAAAATTAACAAGAGCTTTTAATGACAAAAATTGAGGAATAAGGATATGTTTCGGTTATTTTGGTTAATTAACCAAATTATTCAAATAATTTTTTATAACCAAAATTATAACTGAATTAAAAATTTAGTTCAAATTAGGTATAAAAGTCTTATCTAAAATTATTTTGGATAACCAAAAATTTAGTTCAATTTGGATAATCCAAATTGAATGCCTAGTTCTACTTTTTTAACTCTATACAATTATTATAATGTATAAATTAATGGATTTTTTAATGATTTCTCTTATTATATTATCTATAAAAAATAAATTTGATTAATGTAATTAAAAAAATCCATTGATCAATATATAATAGTCTATTTCAAGAATTATTTTTCTTTATTTCTTTTTTTATAATTAGGGTATTTTAAAATCAATTTTTGTACACCTTCAAATTAATCTTTTGGTAGATAATATTAAATGCGTAACTTTTATAGTAGTAAAAATAATTTGTGTGTGTATGATTTTCATAAGTTTGAGAGCATATTTAGGTTGGTGACATGTTGGGTGATATGGAACTTATGGGGTCTACAATTGAAATTTATTAAAAAAAATAAATTAATTAGTGGGTGAGGTTTGATGGTAAATAGTTAATAAGACAATGATTGGTACACTTTCTGGTTTAATACACTATATAACACACTTTGATTCAACCATTAAAACTTGTCTTTGGAAATTTTCCCGCAATGAATTCAAATTTGAAAATAATAATTTTTTAATAAGTATGTTATAGAGTATGTTAAGTAGAGTGTGTTAAAATAGAAGATGTATCAATCACTTTCTTAGTTAATAATAGTGTTAGTAACAGCACTAGGTGAGGGAGGTAATTAGTATGAAAATTGAAAGTAGAGAGAGGACAATAGTGTCTTTCAGCAGAGTAGAGGGAGGTCTTTGAATGATTTCAAAGTATAAGAAGGACAATTAATGAAAAAGGAAAGTTGAGGGACTATAGTTGGCTTTAACCCTATTTTGAATTATAAACAATAAAAATTATTAATCATTAAGTTTTAATTATCAACTATTAGTTACGGCTAAACAACTAATTTAAACAACTTCAAAATCTTAAAAAAAAAACTAAATTTAAACATTTTAAATTAAAAATTAAATTTACTAAAATTGAACCCAAAAAAAATATTAATATATAATTATAGTTAGTTTTAGATTTTTGAATAAAAAATAATTATCTTTAAAAATGAAATAAAAAGTTAATAAATTTTAATTATTTATAATAAACAAATAAATAATTTAAGATTTGTTATAAGTAAAATATATGAGTTACATTGTAAGTGGAAACTAACTTTATATAAAAAAGATGAATTAATTAAGAAGCAAGTCAAATACAAAATGATCAGCACTTGTACAATATTCCATAAAACACACACCATCACTACATATTCTTGCAACTAAATTGCAAAAGGAACATGCCACCCTCATTTGGGTTTTTGACCTTTTATCTCTTTTTCTTTTTTGTCTTCCACATGTTAAAACCCCATACTGGAAGCCTCAAATAACATTGTACGGTGGAGAAGAGTACTACACACCGCACAGAAGTTGGTCTCATTCTCATTCTTATTCTCATCATGGCGGGGAGAGTGCAGACATGACAAGAAAATTGTCACCATTCTCATCATCTTCATAAATTACAGCGACCGAACAGAACACAGGTGCACTAGAAAACAAACAAAAGAGACCAGAGTTCACGGTTTTGTCCAAACACAGAGTGCAATCGATTTCCACACATTTCCTAATGTTAGGATCCTTTCTAAGGTTTCTCTTCCCACGAAAAAGATCCTTTCACTCTTTTTTCCTTCCACTGCTAATAAACCAAAACCCCGCATGCTCTCTCTCTTCCCCCTCCCAATCTCCTATTCTTAATTTGATCCTTCTCAATCTCCTATTCTTAACTTGGGATCACATAATTACATAAAAACACACCATATATCATTACCTATACGGTCCCAGATACACAAACCACTCACACCCAAAATTAAAAAAAAAAAAAAAAAAAAAAAAAAAAAAAAGAGGCCCAGAAAAAAAACATATTAAAATTTAGAATTAATTAAAGAGACCTGTGTTCAAGAATACTGATGTTGTCGGTTCTGTGTCTTTTAACATTTCCTGAAGAAGACTCTTCACCGGAAGTCTTGTCCATCACTGTTTTCAATGCTTCTTGTACTGAACTTAAGGAATACTGTTGTTGCTCACTGCTGTTACCTGAATGATCTTCTCCAGTGATAAAAAGAACGTTCTTTACACGGCCACCAAGCGACGTGATCTCAGCTTTCAAGGTTTTGAGACGCAAGGCTTTCAGGGTTTTGATCAGCTCAGGAAGGAGATCAGACCTGTCTTCACAGCATAGTGATGCTTTGATCACAAACCTACCATCCTCATCCGCCTCATCGACAGTGAGCTCGTCCATCTCTGTAGGGACTGGACTTGTTTCCGCTATCAAAGAAGTCTGGCGTTTCAGCTCCTTGACATGTTGAATCACTTCTGCTAGTAGTGAAGCCTTGTCCGTCTACAGCACACGAAATTAACACCACAAAAACCCATTAAAACATAATATAATTAAAATATACATACCACGAGCAAATTCAGCGCTAGTTCTCAAAACTAACCGTGTGTCACATTTGGTACTCTTAACATGTACTAAAAAATAAGAATACATTACACCAACATGCACGTACGTTATGTTTGCTCAGAGGAATAACCATCAACCAAATTAAAGGAGAGGAGTTAACATGAAATAGAGATTAATATTTAAAGTCAGGGATAACATCAAATTAAATTACAGAGAAATGAGATTTTTTGTTCCGTGGACAATGCATTTTCCTTCTGGTTGATCATAAAAGACATTGTTGGTCAAAGTAGCTAGTAATTTTTGTTGAGTAAAAAAGAAAGATGGCTAGCTGAGTTTTCCTGTGTTCTTTTACTTGATGTTCAAATCCCTGAAGTGGCTAAACGAGAATATATAGATTCCCTTTTAACAGAAGAAGAAACAAAGGAAATGACAGGAGGTCTAATCACTTCGTCTTTCTTTCCCCGGCATGAAATTATTTCTACGGAAGCTTTTCAACTTGTGCCTTGGTTCCTCTTTATCATATCAAGGGAGCGACATTAACGCTTACTTACCCCCTTTTTGAAAATTTTTTTTGGCTCCTCGGAACTACCACAAGATGGGAGATAAGAGAAGAATGAACCAAAAGACAAATAGTTTTTTTAAAAAGATAAAACAACCGAAAGAGAATAAGAAGGGTCAAAGAAAGAAATATGACTTTCACATGAACAAAGGCTAGCTCATACAAAACAAAAAGAATACTCAAACTTCTTCAGTTAAATATACATAATATTGTGCGCATGATCATTTAAAAGTGTTTTGTTTTGTTTATGTGCCACATGGGAAGCAATGAAAGAAATTTTCAGGAGTATATACTTGAACTTACTTTGGTAGTGCTGGGAAGCAAGCTGCGTAGCTTCGCGAGATGGTTGTTGATTCTCTCTCTTCTCCTCCTCTCAGCTTCACTGTGGCTTTTTGAAGCAGCGAGTGCTTTTGCATCCATGATTTCTTGAGGAGTCATCTTACCTAACTCAGCTTGGAGGCCGAACGGAGCTGAACCGGGTTGAACCACCGGTCCGAGAGTCTCCGAGAGTATCCTCAGATGATCCGTTGATGGACCCTCGTAATCAAAGTGTAGGCCGGGAGCTCTCCTGTTGATGAAACCGCCATATGGTGGCGGCGGCTGGGGAGGGACAAGAAAAGGATCATGATCATGGACCTGATTTCCGGCAAAGTGGTGAGGATTGAAGTTGTGAACCGGAGGGAGGGACCACGGTAAGATTGGTGAGACTTCAGGGAAAATCAATCCTTCCCTAAATAAATCACTGTTTTGGTGTTGCTGCTGCATCTGTTGGTGTTGTTGATGAAGAAAAAACTGTTCTTGGTATCCCTGCATGTTCTGGAAAGATTTAGAACACTCTCCTTGATCTTCTTCTTTCATCTATCCCCTCCTCTCTCTAGAAACCAAAAAACAAAAAAAAACAAAACAAAATCAAATATAAACATGAATTTTTGTTTACATATCGATCTTGATTCATGATCACTTAATTCCTTGTATGCTATGGAAGAAGGGAATTGGAAAAAGGGAGAATAATAATAAGAGACAGACAGACCTTGTTTCAGATGATGATGATATGTTTACATGGGACTTTGTGAGTGGTGTGGTATGGTAGGAGATGTGAGATTGAGAAAGCCAAAAGGGGTATCAAGGAGACTTGTCTTTCAGTTGGGTAAGGTTATTTTCTGCCACGCCTTTGCGGGTGATGACCCTTTTTATCCCTTTGGGCTTCAAAAAAATAAGCTTTCTTTTTCCTTGGTGCTTTGTTGGTGTCTTTTTGGTTGCTTTGTTTTTTTTTTTTTCTTCCCCTTCCTCCACTACTCTTAAATTTATGGACTCTGCAAGTACTGGCTGCTACCCCTTCCCTTTCCTTTCTTCTTACGGCATTCTCCATACATCTGGCCCTGTAGCTATCAGACTTTGGGATAAAATCATAAAGATAAAATAGCATCTCTTCTTTTTGGATTTTCTTTCTTTAAAAATTCTCTATTAATTAAAATAATATTAAAAAAATCTTAGATAAAATAAGTGATTATTTTTTACTATTAGATTTGAGTTCAAGTCTTTTTTTTAAAAAAAAATACTTTGACATGTAACTCTATCTAAAAAAATTAAAATAATGTTAACTCTAAATTTTAAATCCATTTATGATAAGTGATATTCATTTTGTAACTTAAGTTTAAATTTAAATATTAACATTTTCATACATAAAATTTAAGTTAATGTAAAAATTGTGCTTATAATTGAGATTGTGGATTGAATTTTAATATAAATTATAAATTAATTTAAAGCCATCTTAATCTTAAAAAAAATTAAAATAAAGCTTGTGATTGGTTCACAGTGTATAATTACAGTATGTGATGGTCGGGAAACACAAAAACAAACACAGTGAACACACAACACACAGATTGTCGACTCGACCAACCATTGCCGAAAAGGCTGATAGCTTCATCATGATAAGAGGCTTACCTAAATAAACACTTTTCAAATTTGTTTAATTTTTAATATATGTGGCTTTTCTTCTACCTCGGTCAGTCAAGTCCCGCACACGTTCTTCTATAATCTTCGCTATTTCCACGCCACCCTTTCTGCTTCCTCAAGACCAAGTAATGATTGTGTCTTGGAACACACCCCACCTTTTTCTCTCCATGGATCAAGCTGTGAATAAGTTGGTTTTTCTGAATTTTTCCAGTTTTCACGCGACACTTGTTAAGCATCTCCTCCACGGTTTTGGAGGGGCCACCCTGCAATTTTTTCTTTCATATACAAATTTACAATGGTTAATATAATATATAATTCCTCACAGAAAATTAAATTTATAAAAAAAAAAAATAATTAATTATATAATCATTGCGATGTCAGCTTTTTTTGGTCTTTGTTTTTCTCCCCCCCACACTTTTGGTATTTTCTGGGTGGAAGTCCTTGGATAGGAAGGTGTTGTACAGGGTAAGAGTAGTAGGATGCTGGGATTAGGACAAACCTGGAGAAATAGGGGTGACCACCCT